GAGAGACCACAGGGCTGGATCGGGCGAGCGCCGCAGTGGGGTGGGGGGGGGCAAGGAACCGGGGGAGGTGACGAAAGGTGCACATCTCGTGCACCTTCGCCCTGCTGCAACCCTGATGGGCCTGTCTTCCACCACCACCACCACCACCACCATAAGTTGGCCCGGGGGGGGTCCTCCTCCACCTCCTCCTCTTCCTCCTCTTCCTCCTCCTCCTCCTTCTCCTCCTCCTCCTCCACCTCCTCCTCCTCGTCCTCCACATCCTTCCCACCTCCAACTTATGGTGGTGGTGGTGGAAAACAGGCCCCCGGCTATCGCCCGCCCGTTACCAGAGCGCCCGAGGCTGGGAGCGGGGGGGTCACCGGGAGGCTCGAAGAACGAGCCGCGATGTGTCCGATTTGCTGCTGGGGGGGGATATCGGGATGCTCCGAGGCCCGATCCGTCTGGAGGAATTCTGGATGAAGTCCGGGTGTTGTGTTGAACACGAAAGCGCGGCGAGCGGGCGGCGGGCGGCGGGCGACATGCCGGCGGCGGGCGGGCGGACCAGGACCCAGATTGAACTCCAAAGGATTCTCTCTTGCAGCGGGACGCTGCCGAGTACTGGGTGTTGTGTTCGAGACGGAGGAGGGAGGAGGAGGAGGAGGAGGAGGAGGAGGAGGAGGAGGAGAAGGAGGCGAAGGGGGAGGAGATGGAGGAGGAGGAGGACGAGGAGGAGGACGAGGAGGAAGAGGAGAAGGTGTTGAGTAGTGGGTATTGTATTGGAGACGGATGCTGTGGAGTACTGGGTGTTGTGTTGGACGCGGGAGCACGGCGGACGGGCGGCGAGCGGACGGCGGGGGGCGGGTTTGCCGCCCTCGGCGAGCGGACGGCGGGGGGCGGGCGGCGGGCGGGGGAAGGCCCCAAAATACAGCCGAAAGGGGGGTTCCGAGAAGCCCCTGTGGAAGGGGGAGCACCAACCGACACGTCGAGCCACCCGGCCCAAGAAACCACCAGGCTGCCCCAAGAGGCGCCCAAGAAATCCAAAGAGGCCCCAAAAAGGCCCAGGACAGCTCCAAAGGCATTCCCGGGAGATCCCGAAGACGGCAAACCAAAGATGTCCCGTCAGTTGTTCAACGCTTGTCGTCGTAAGAAGCCCCGGGGGAGCCCCATGAGCACTCTCAAGAGAATCCCAAGAGAGAGGGCAAAATCAACGATGCTCGTCCTCCCCACCCGACAGGTTGGGCCTCCCGCCCGCCAAGTCCGCACACCACGGCCACCAAATCCCCAGGTCCACCGGACATCCCGCGAGTGTGTCACCTCGCGCCGACCCGCCCAGTCTGCAGATCCCCAGATCCACCGAGCGCCCCGTCACGCGCATTCGACGACACACACAAAAAAGAACAGGTCATAGCACAGCATCGCAGCACAAGGCATCGCATAACGTGACACTTAACAACATGGCAGAACGCGGCACAACACATTTAGTACCCAAGCAAAGCGCCCGAAAAGCAGCTAAGGTGTGGATGCGGGTGGACGCCCGAAACGTCGGTACAATAACGTCGGTAAAACGTCGCCGGAAAAAAAAACGCATCTGATGGTCGATAAAATTACGGAACAGATGTTGCTGACGAGGGTGACGTTCGTGATGCCAAATGGTGATGTGAACACGCTTGGAACCGCATTTGAGACCGAGCGGCCCCACTGCTGGCAGCTGGAATGGTGGGAAGCCGACGGCCCTGCCACACTTCCTGGACTCGGGACGTGCGCTAGAACACGCCAGGAAAGGGCAACTTGTTTTGGCACATACGCAAAACACATCGCACTCGAGCCACAGTCGAGGGGCAATCGATAGGCACATACATAAAATACCTCAGTTTCGAGCCCTGCGAAAAAAGAAATCTATAGGCCAAAACGTAAACACACGCTGAGTTCGAGCCACAAGAGAGGGGCAATCGATAGGCACGGCACATACGTAAAGCACCTTAGTTTCGACCCCCGGGAACGGGGAAAGCTATAGGCAAAAACGTAAAAGACGTAGGATTCAAGCCACTGGAGAGGGGCAATTTATAGGCGCATATTGAAACACAATAAAAATGAACTACGAGACGCGGCCAATCCGTAGGAATATACGTAAACACGCATTGAATTCGACCCGCAAGAGAAGAGCAACATATAGGCACATACGTAAAACACAACAAGGGTTCGAGCGACGGGCAATCTAGAGGCACATACGTAAAATACATACGATTCGAGCCACATGACAGGGGCAACACGTATGCACAACTGTAAAAAAAACATAGGGGGCATCCGTAGGCACACGTAAAACGCAGATGATTCGAGCCACGGGAGAATAGGCACACGTAAAACACAGGTGTTTCGAGCCACGGGAGAAAATCAATTCATTGGCACACACACGCGAGACACATGAGATTCGAGTTCCAGGAAGGGGCATCTATATGCACATACGTAACGTTTTCATACTCGGCGTTTCGGCATTGACCGAAAGAGGGGGCGGGGGTCTGGCACCGGACCTCTGATTCGCGCGACTGTTTGGAGCAATCAATGGTCCCATGGGGAATCCCATGGGGAATCCTAAATGGGAATCCTATGCGGGAATCGTACGTGCGAGCGCCATGGAAAAATTATGGGGGAACCTCGCGACTCATCCGATTACGAACCCCATAGGGGAAATCCGATGGGGGACTCTTCTCGGGGGATCCTACGGGGGAGCCCGAACTAGATTAGAATCAGTTTGGAATCCGATTGGGATCTTCAAAATTTGAATTTCCACCAAATCCCACAACAAACGGTTACCTGCAGGGGCATGCTTCTGGAACTCTTTTATTTCCCGAAAGTCGCCCAGAAAGCACAATTCACAGTTGCGCGAAACAGCTATTCGCTTGTCCACCAAGGGGGGGGGGCGGGGACCCCGTGTTTACTCCACCAGCTTGAAACAGGCGCCCAAATCTACTCATTGAGGGGGGGGGATGGTGCGAGGGCGCGCGCCCATCGGCAAAATTAAAAACAAGAAAACGATCGTGGTGGAATTCGAGCCACAGGAGAGGGCCGATCTACAAGCACATACGTAACACGCAAATAGTTCGAGCCACAAGAGGGGGGGATAGGGCCTCGGGAGGTTCACGGGGGGCGCCTGGAGGCAAGAAAATCAACGAACCGACACCGGATACACATAAAATGCCAAAGTTCCATTCAGGTGCGGATCGCCGCACGAGACCCCGAAAATCAACGAATCGATACTGGACCCAAACAAACTTCCGACATTCCGCCCCCCGGGGCCCCGGCAGGCCCAGGGAAACGCATAGACTTCGAGCCCTAGGAAAAAGGCAATTTATAGGATAATCCCAAAGCCGTAATAAGGTGACCACTGGAATTTCTGACCACCTCTCTGTCGCAAAGGGTCGGTTTCAAAGAAATCGGTCACAGAGGGCCACGTTATGCGCACCCTGTTGCCGCGGGTGCTCCCGCCACGACTGGAGACGATAGAAAGGGCAGACAAGCGCGATGGCGGAATGGGGGATCGGGGCGGAGGGAGAAGCAAACGATGAAGGAGAGGAGACGACGACATCATCGATGACAGCACCGATGACGGTCCCATGTCTCTCTCCCGTCCCGCTGGGGAAGCGGTCGCTGAACGCGGAGACGCGCGCGACGCGACGCCACTCACGACGCGCTGCCATGGCCCCCGCTGCTGCGGAAGGACGCCTTTCGACCGACGGGGCCCCCCTCCGCTGCTGCGGAGGGGGCGGCCTCTCTGCCACTGTTCAGAAAATGCCCAGGGGTTGCGGTCGGTGTGGCTGCGCGCCCAATTCCACGCGATGCGTCTCCCCCAGTGCCCGCCGGGCCTGTTGCGCTGGACTTCCCTGTCGTCGTAAAGTGCATCTGTCATTTCGCGCCGGGCAACTTCGAGCCTGTTGTCCTTGCCCGAGGAAGCGGCAACGCTCGGCCGTCGCCACTCGCTCCAGTCGCCCTGTCAGTTGTCCCACCGCCCCCCGCGCCACCAGCGCCAGTTCTGCGATTCCTGCCATGCCGTCTGGGACCCCGAACCTTCTGCCCTTCTGCTGGAAATGCACCCCCGGGTCGCGGCGAGCTGCGGATAGCAGCCCTCCAGAAAGCATCCCATTCGGGCTCGCCGGGACCAGGGGCGCGGGGGCTCACGACGCCTAGAGCGGCGAAGCGAGACGGCCGCGCGGGCGCGACAGCCGCCGCTGCTGCGGCGGCAGGGCCATCGCGCCATTTGGAATCCTCCGTTGGCGTGTTCCCATCATCTCGCCACTCTCCCCACCCGCGCGCTGACCAATCATGGCCATCCTCCCGGCCACCCAACCCGCCGATGCGGCTGGGACACCACTCTGCCGCCCCCCCCCCCCCCCCCCCCCCCCCCTGTGATTTCACTTGTTCGCCAATTGGAAGACAATCGCACTGGCCCGTGCGAGGCCGCGAGCGGCCCGACTGCACGTTGCTGGCGGGGCGACTCCCTTGCGATTACCGCGCGCGCGCGGGGGGGGGTGGGGGGGGGGGGGGGGGGGGTGAGAATAGCGGCGGCAGACGACGCGATGTGATTGGATGGCTGAGAAGTTGGAGGCAACGAGGACGGAAGAGGGAACACGATGTGGACGCATAATGGAAAACGAACCATCAGAGAAGAAAGGGCGGAAGAGAGGGGGGGAATGCAAGCGAAGGATGGTGACGACGAAGGGGATGGCGCGGCGCAGTGGCAGCTGAGAAGAACGCGGCGCGCATTGTCAAAGGTAGCATGGAAACGCACGATAGTGCTCACAAGCGCGAAGGTGATGAGCGCAGAATTTGGGTGAGAGGTAAAAATGCGAAAAGCAGGGTGGCGAGGACAAGGATGAC